TGGGTTTTTTTTTTTATTTACTTCCCTTCCTTTTCCCTTTCTTGCATTTCATAGACTGCATAAGTTGGAAATACCCACACTTCACACACTACAACCTCGTTAAACACTCTATATCCTTTTGTAATGTCATGTAACTGTTGTCTTGTCTCCCATGTTCCTTACTGTTTTGTTAATGTTTCTTTGTTTCAATGAAAAGAAAAAAAAAGAACCAGTGTTGAGCCAGTGGTTCAGGTGGCTGGTCTGTGTAGGACTCTTACATCAAACCTGGTGACGCGCAGTATGTCAGCTGATTGCGTGTAGTTGTGTCACATAGTCCTCCTGCATCAACCCTGTTTCATTTGACATCACATGCACAGTCCCACCCCAGATGTGAAGTTGGGTTGTCTGTGCAGATCACCGGACATAGGACTTACCTTTTATAGTAGCACCACTATATGTCCCACATCCAATGTGAAAGAAAACGGACCACTCTCTGACCAAGTTTCATGCCTGGTTTTTAGTTAACTGCTAGCTAAAGGAGAATGCAGTTCCTACCCAGATCTGTTACATTTTTATCTCATAATGATTTTCAGTCTATGAAAGACAATAGTCCATTTTCAAACATTTCCATTCATTTTCATATTAAATGCCTCAGACCTTCAGTTCATGTGCAATAGCTACATGCCTAACAGTCAAATCTGAATAATTCTGATTGTGCCATGTTTTTTTGAGTGATTTGTCTCTTATTTATTTTTGGAATTGGTGTTTACTTGAATTTTAAAACAGACCGGTGCCAGCTTTCTAATCCAAATGCAAGCTTGTTTGCTTTATGGTACACCACAAAAATACAAACAAATAAAAAGTGGTTTCTGCAGGGATATCCTTCTTTATAATTGGCATGGGACACTGTGTAAACACCAAGAACAGGTCCTGAGGGGGAGCTTAGCACTCGTTGTGACCTGCTGTCCAGATGGGGAGAATAAGACACGATGAGTCAACAAGCCCTGAAGGGCAGCCTCTAAACTGACTTACAGAATTGTTTGTTCTGCCTCTTCATGATGGTTTATGATGAGTTTACTGACAGATAAAGCAGGTTGACAATAAGGTAATCAAAATGTATATGTTCTAAGTAGATTTTTAAGGAAAGCCTTTGGTAATAATATTAAGACTATACTCACATTTGACCTTTAATTGTTACCTTAAAATAAAGTCATGTGATGAAGCCATGTTTGGAAAGAAAATAAATTCTATGTGACTAGATGACTTGGTAAATAATTCCTGAATAGCTACTGTACAGTAATTGTGGCATTACTGTAATTAGCAGTTTTGCATTCATGGTGTATTTCTAATGGATGAGGCTGTGTTACCTTAGGCCCTGGTTTTCCAGAAACACCCATGTGTCCCTGTGAAGAAACAATGTGGTTTAATGGCTTGAAGAAAATGAACTAGACTTTAGAAGAGTTCATCTGGAGCACTTACAGTGGGTCCTGGTGGGCCGATAAATCCAGGTCTTCCTGGCTTCCCTGCAGAACCCTTGTAACCTCTTGGGCCCTCAAGAATAAAACATTTATTAAACCAACCTAAGGGACTGTTTTACTCGTTGTCATTTTCCTTTAAAATTGTAAACAACTTTACAAAATGTATTGTCTTCAGTTATTAAAATGAAGTTACTTACAGTTTGGCCTTTGGGACCCATTTCTCCTGTGGGCCCCAGGATGCCTTTCTCCCCCTGTAAATGACACAAATGGTAAATAATTATCCTGCAAACAAACACCTCAATTTTAGATTTATTTACAAAACCAAACAAGATCAGGGAGTTACCTTTGCTCCACTCTGTCCAAGCCTTCCGCTAAAACCTTGTGGTCCTTGATAAGCCTGTGAGGAATACATTTAAATAATACAAATCCACTGTTTCCCAAATCCAGAATAAAGACATCATTATAATCAGAATATAATACCTCTATTCCAGGATCGCCATCTCTGCCAGGTAAACCTGGATCTCCTACAATGCCCTAGGGAGATGTTATCGTTATTTTAAAACACACAAAAAGTTTTGGAAGTCTAAGTGAACTCTCAGGTGTGGGGCTGTGAATTACCTTTGGTCCGATGGTGCCAGCTCTGCCCACAGGCCCTTGGACACCCTAAATTTCAGATTTGACACTTTTACAAATATTCCCAACATTCAAAATAACGCATTGTGAAATCTTTGTGATGTTTGTACTCTGGTGTAAATCAAACCAGAACAAAGTCAGTGTGATTAATTTGTGATACCTACAGGCCTCCCCTTCTCTCCAGGAGCTCCCCTCTCTCCAGGATCTCCTACAATACCCTAGTAGATCACCATTCAAAGGAACATGAGAGTTTACTTTACATACAGAATGTTTCATTCAAAAAAGCAACATGGTATACCAGGGAGCCTTCCTTCAGATTCAGTAGTAGATTATCACTGTGGCCGAGACTTTTCTTTCTGTGCTTCACCAGCTTTTGTTGATATAGTGCAGGCATTCAGATCTCAGCCAAAATCCAGCCACATGAACTCACATTATTTATGGAGACAGCACATAACCCAGACACATACCTCCATTCCAGTGTTTTACCACATTTAAAATGATTTACTGACTCTTCACACTCACATGAATTAGGTGTCTTATTATGGAACAGGGGATCTGATAACAACACACCTGCTTTCCTCTGAGCCCAGGATGCCCTGCTGCACCGGTGGTCCCCTTTTCTCCCTAAAAATCAAAGCTCAGTGGAATATCACAGATATCAAGATCTAGATAAAAAAGAACACATAGGAAGGAGGAGATATAAATACCTTAACTCCTTGAAACCCTGGAATTCCTTCATATCCTTTTTCACCTTTAGCACCCTTCAAAGAGGCCAAAACATTAATAATCCAGTAATCTCTTGCAAAAGGGCTCACCCCTATGTCTGAAATGTTAACTTACAACTGGTCCTGCTCTCCCAGACCCTCCGATGTCTCCGGGTGGCCCACGAACTCCCTTTAATTACAGTCAAAATGTCGACATTACACCTTCTCGGTTATCTATAGAGTTGAACAACTTTAATAACCTGCATGAAAATCCAATGAAAACTTACCAACCTAAATTAATGGCTGTCAAATTAAACAGGTCTAATTAAAACCCGAATCCAGCGGAGAATTTTACCTTGAAGCCCACTGCTCCTTTTAATCCTTTCAGTCCCTTAGGACCTCTGTCTCCCTGTGAACACAACATCTCATTAATGCTGATTTGTAACATCTCAGGGTAATGAAAATTATAAACCTGCACGTGATAGATTACCATTTGACCCCAGGGTCCTTTCATTCCTTTCTCGCCTTTGATTCCTTCCTCACCCTGAGGAAAAGTGTGTGAGGTTTCATGAATGTACTTTGCAGAATGACCCAAACTGAAGTGTAGCCCTGATACAGGAGCATATAAATCCCAAACCTACCTTTGGGCCTGTCTCACCAATGCTGCCGTAGTCCCCTGCGTTTCCTCTGGTGCCCTGCAAGACAAGCTGGGCTTAATCTGAGCACTGCAGATATTTGTTTGTAAATGGACCAACTTGAGATTGTCTTATTTAACTACACTTTAATGATCCCACAGCCATAGGTGGCAAAATATGTTAAAGGAAAAGCATGGGGAAAGTACTCAGTAGAGTGTCAGCTGCATAAACAGGCATAACATATTACACAATATTTCTGAAAAGTTGCATTACTCCTTTATAGTGTATATGAAGCTACAGCCAGGACTGATTTAACTTATCATAGCACAAAGACTGGAACCAGTCAGCACAAAGATAAAAACTATTTGCTCAGACATATCTTGTTTGTTAAACCAAACACTTTATGATTTGTACATGGTCATGTGCAGGTTTAAAAGCTTTAAAGGTGCCAGAAATACCAACAGGAAGTCTGGTAATGCATTGCTGTCTCCCAGCTGCAATGTCAGACTGTATGTGAGAGTGATATATGTTTATATATTTATATATTGAGAGAGAGAGAGAGAGAGATAAGTTATGAATGGACCAGAGCTGTTTACACACATGCTGATTTCCTCAGTAGTAGAAGGAAAAGTCTTTTCCAGTTGGTTGTATTCCACTGAGTCAACAAACAGATTAAACACATTCAGGATCTTTGTGTTTTTAGTTTATTTTACCATCTCACCTAACACCGATTTTAAGCAGACTCAGCTGGGCAAAGGCTAACCTCAGAGATGGCCGACAGTACGGCGACAGGCATGACCGTTAAGTTTATGAAGCTTCTATGGCGGTACAGCTTTGACGTGGAAAGGACCACCCACCACCTGAAATGGACAGTTCATATATCTGTGCCAGGAAATGCCCTCCTCGAATGCCAGCAGGGAAGGAGAGAAACATGTTCGGGGCTCTGTGATTCACAAGCTAGCAGGAGGTCAAAACTTTTACCGGTTACACAAGACAGATGTTTATTCCCAGATGAGCTACAGCTGCATTTCTGGACATGAAAACTGCATGTAGCATGTACAGCTCTGGAAATGTGCTTTGGGTGTACCTTGGTCTACATGCACAGCATGGGGGATTAACCTTGAGTGTAGAAGATGTTAAATGCCAAGACATCACATACATCACACTCCTTCCTTAAACACATGTTCCCCAGAATATTTTTAAAGACTTTCAAATCCACTCCAACACAACAGTGACTGTTAAGCATCAAAGAGATTAACAAGTCATAAATCTAAACTGGAAACAATCCTGTCTGCAGCTCCCTGAAGGAAACAAATGTGAGCGTATTCATTCAATGATACATGTGTAATTGGCTCCTCTAGCATCGTACTCTGTTCACAATCATTTCCACAAGCCTTTCCTTTTTTCATAGTTTGGTCTTCCTGTTGTGAATTAATTAGTCTCATCCACAAATATTTAAAACATTTAAACAAATAAAACATCTGAAAATTTCACACACAAGCAGATTAATGCTACTCATTATGAAACAGAGAAATATAGGAACAGTATTGCTCAACTGCCTTGTTTTCCTGTGTGTGTCTGTGAGAGAATGAGAGAGAAAGATTTATTACGTTTGGTTCTGTTTCGTCCAAATGGAAAAGCAAAATCATTACAAATCCTGTGACCTTTTGCCATTTCAAGTTAAATCCTATATTCTAGAGCAGCAGCTCCTGTTTCAGAACTACAAAATCATTGTCACAAATATTTTTGCTTTGTGCTTGTCTTGGCTTCCTCCTAGAACTTCTGCAAAGCAAATATGATTTTTTCAAACGGTGAAAGGAACCCCTGTGTTTACTATCTCTAAGTGCGTCTGCTTCCAGATCTGTTTCCATCCTGTTGTGTCTCTGTTGTACTTCTATTGCCATTTTCCACAGGGCGGATGAAAAGCTTAAAATGTCACAATTCAGTTAGTCCAAAAAGAGGAAGAGGCCGTTGCTCACAGAAAGAATATACTGGGTAAACCCCAGAATGTGCACTCATCCAGCATATAGCATAAGGTTAGATATTCATTCATTCATTCATTCATTTTCTAGGAGGAACAGTAATTTGGTGCTAATCATATTGTAGTTTAATTTACCCAGTTTCCTTGCCTTCCCGGTTCTCCGGTGTTCCCTGGAAGACCTCTGTGACCCTGCAGAAGAAAAATCAATGTGTCAGCATAGACTCCAATTGTCTTATCAGTGTTATCATGACCAGCCAATTTTCACTGGACAGGTAGATTCAATACCTTTGGCCCTGGAGGACCCTGAATGCCAGGTTGTCCGTGCACACATCTGCAAGACGCCCTTCCAGCTGTTAGGCCGATCTCTGCATACCCTCCGCACTGCCATTGACAGATAAGCAACAGAATTTGAGGTTTTGAAACTCTACATACATTTCTACGAGAGGAAGTTTTACAATCTTGAATCTTAAACAACTCACCACACTAGAAAGCTCACAGCAGCCCTCTGAATAAGCTTGCTCTGGATCACATGACACATCCATCTGCTGGAGGTCCAACTGAAAAGAGACAGAAGATACATTTAAGTTGTAATCTAAATCAAAGAAAGTTGTGATATAACTTTAAATATATATAAATCATAGTTGTCAACGTACAAACACAGATCGATCTCCTACAGCCCGCTTGACGATGGAGGTGTACCCTCGGCGAATGACTGGTCTTGGCTCATCAATGGACTCCACACTGACCTCTTCACAGTCTATCAGCAGCTTCACATGGCTGCCCTTCACACTCACTGCCAACTTGTGCCATTCGCCATCAAACAACTTTTTCACATCATGGAAGGTCCTCAGAATCTGGCTCCCATGGGGGCTAGTGTAAAAGAAGTCTAAAGACTGTGTGTCACCGTGGAAACGCAGGCCAACTTGCTCTTGTCCGTTCGGGTCGCTGACCTGCCACAAGTTCCAGGATTTCTTGGCAGTGTCCTTGGTCATCTTAAATGTTGCGATGATGGAGTAGTCAGAGGGAAGCCCATCTGGATATACATCACTGTGGCACGGGAGTGAGGTTTAGAGAGCTGAGTAATGTCAAACAGAGGCAACTTTTTTTCACAAAATAATAATAACAGCCTTTTGTGGGAACATGAGGGTTTTGTTTTTCAAAAACATGAGTAAGTAGAAACAGAACAACTTGAATGTTAAGTTTTGCCATATGAGTTGGGACAGTTTCAATACATGCATTTGCAAAACAGCACCAAACTCAAATGGAAACACTTAAATCAACATTACTCACTAACAGTCAAGACTGAGCTAAATGCTAACATCAACATTTCATGACAAGGCTAACATGCTGCTGTTTAGTGGGGGCAATGACCATCATGGTCACCAATACACCTGCATTGCCTTGCCAGCGAAATATGCATCAAAATGTTGTTGTTGTTTTTTTAATATCTGGGAATATCATGTAGTCTAGTACCGTACCTCATGGTCCTCCTTAAATGGATGGAGGGATTGACTCGGTAGGCCACTGCCTCAGGTTGAGAGCCATCCACCATCCTCACTCCTTTCGACTCGGGCACGTGAAACTCCTCCAGGAGATCAAAACCTCACAGCACAAACACTGAACTCAGTTTGACATCACACTGATTCAGCATCAAAGGTGATGGACTACTTCTAAATCTTATGTCAGCGCTGATATCACAGATTCTTTAAACAGTCGCATTAATCTTTTGTCATTAATGAAGCCATCTCTTCACAGCTGCAGTGAGGCCATTTATTAAACTCACTGACATGAACAGGCAGTTTATTTTTCTTTCATAGGTTGATTTAGCGTCTGAATTGTAAACACTGGTCTCCTTGTGCTGTTTGAATGATGTTGATGAGTGGCTGCAGTGTTTCCTGTGAGATTAGAACATGGTGAAGGAACAGTGATATCTCAGACATTATTATTACTCACTACTGCTCATATTATTTTTTCTGACAGACTGTTTAATCTGTGGTTAGGATGCCATTGTGTTAACTGGATTATTTATGGTAACAGGGAACCTGTTCTCATGTGGACAGCTCAACACCAGGATGACCTCTTGACCTCACAGTGACCACAGAGACACTGAAACCAGGGAATAATATACTGGGTCGACTGCCATTAAAGTTGTATTATCTGACAAACACTGACATCTGCTGGTCTTGGTGCAGTGGTACTGTACTTGGAAAAAATCCTAAAGTCATGGCACATGATGTGATATACTGTATATTATTATTGTAAATTCTGTTTTATTTAACCAGGAGATGCCTCACTGAGGTTAAATATCTTTTTATCAGGAGTGTTTGTCAGGGATAGCAGCAGCACATATAACATGGCCATCTGTGACCAGCTATACAGAAATAACATATTATAATGTATGATTCAGAGTTAATAAAAATAAATTAAAACTTACTTGGAAACGTTTGGCACTGGTTCAATCCCAAGATGGCAAAGAGGACTACGAACACCAGTATAACTTTGCGGAGTGGCATTTTCAAACTTTGGGAGTCAGGAGCTGTAAGTGCCTGAAGTACAGTAATTAAATAAATCAGTAATTTAGTAAATCAGATTCACTGCTATACTGTATGAGAATAAAGTAGACTTAAATACTGTAGAAGTCAGTCACCAGAACTAGTCATTTTAAAAGTAAGTGTTAAAGATTTACTTTATGATCAAAGCAGAACTGGTGAAATGTTTCCTTTTACTCTTATTAAGCTTTTAATTTTTGTAATGCAGTGCCAATGCTAAGGTTTGATCATCATCTAAGCAATATAAAATCAGATTAAGCACATTTAAGCAATATTAAAAGTAGTATCCACTGAATTTATACAATGCAAAAAATCTAGTTTAGCCAAATTAGAGGATGCAATTACACTAATCACTAGAATCTATATACACA